AACACAGAACTGCTAGATATGCCAGCTGAGTTCAGAAGAGGAAATAAAAAGGAGATATCATTGCTGATGTCAGATGAATCTTGTCTAAAAACAGATAATATCAGAAAGATGCATTTATCCTGGTTTTATTGACGATGCAAAGGTGTTCAACTTTGTGGTTAATAACCATTTATGAACAACATTGTAAAGAATGGGAATTCCAGAACACGTAATTGTGCTTACATGGAACCTGCGCATAGTCCAAGACACAGTAGCTCAAAAAGAACAAGGGAATACTGATTTCAATACTTTCCTGATTTCAGTGATTTGAAATCAGGGAAGGTATGTGTCAAGGATGTATCCTTTGGCCATACTTATTGAATATGTATGCTGAGCAAATTATCTGAGAAACTGAACTATATGAAGAAAAACTCAGCGTCGAGATTAGAGAAAAACTCATTATAACCTGCGATATGCATATGTCACAACTTTGATTGCTGAAAGCAAGGAGAATTTTAAACACTTACTAAGAAGATTAAAGGCTACAGCCTTTAGTCAATATGGATTAGAACTCAACATAAAGAAAACCAAAACCCTCTCAAGTGTACCAGTAAGCAACATCATGATAAATGGAGAAAAGGTTGAAATAGTTAAGGATTTAATTTTGGTTGGATACATAATCAACTCCCTTGGAAGCAGCAGTCAAGAAAGCAAAGGATGTAGTGCATTGGGCAACTCTCCTGCAAAATACCTCTGTAAAGTGTTTAAAAGCAAAGGTCTCAACTTAAGGACTATGGTGTGCTTATCCTAGCTCTTAGAATTTTCATTTGTCTCAAATGCATGTGAAAGCTCGACAATGAATAAGGAAGACCAAAGAAGAATGGATGCATTTGAATTATAGTGTTGGCAAAGAATATTGAAAGTCCTATGGACTTTCTGAAGAATGAACAAATCTGTCTGGGATGAATGATTGTAAGACTTTGTCTCATGTACTTTGGAAATGTGATTTGGAGAGCCCAACCCCTGAAATAGGACATTATTCTAGGCAAGTAGAAGGTCTACGACAAAGAAGAAGACCCTCAGCAAGATGAAGTGAACCAGTGGTCTCAAACATGGCAACAGTCTGTGAAGCTGGAATAGGACCAGGTAGTGTTTCCTTTTATTGTACATTGGGTCACTATGAGTTCGAACAGACTCTAAGGCATATAAAATAAGTACAATCAAAGTGCTTCAAATAATGTCTTCTATTAATCCTAAGCATTAAGGAACTCTGATAGTGCAGTGGTTACAAGTCAGGCTGCTAACCTCATGGGCAGCAGTTTAAAATTACAAGCAGTTCTATCGGAGAAAGATGAGGCGTTCTGTTCCTGTAACGATTTACAGCCTCGGAAACCCTATGCAGGGTCGCTATGAGTCAGAATCGACTCCACAGCACACCACCACCACCGCCATTAAATCTAACCATTATTGTTGTTGTTGTTAAGTGCCATTGAGTCAGTACCGACTCCTAGCGACCATATGCACAGCAGAATGAAACACTGCCTGATCCTGGGCCAAACTCACTACTGTTGCCACGCTTGAGTCCATTGATGCTACCACTTGGCCAATCCATCTCATTGGGGTCTTCCTCTTTTTCTCTCACCCTCCATCTTACCAAACATGATATCCTTCTCCAGCTACTGGTCCCTCCTGACAATATGTCTGGAGTATGAGAGATAAAGTTTGGCCATCTTGGCCTCCAAGGAGCACTCTGGCTGCACTTCTTCCAACACAGATCTATTGGCTCTTTTGGCAGTCCATGGCACTTTCCATTTTCTCCTCCAACACCATAACTCAAAAGCATCAATTCTTCTATGGTCTTCCTTATTCACTGCACAGCTTTTGCATGCATATGAGATTATTGAAAATACCATGGCTTGGGTCAGGCGCACCTTAGTCCTCAAGCTGACATCTTTACACTTCAACACTTTAAAAAGGTCTTGTGCAGCAGATTTGCCCAATGCAATAACGTAAGCATTTTTATACCCTTTGGTTTGGTTGGGAATTTAAAGTGAACAAACTAGTAATATTAACTATTAAAGGAGCTCTGGTAGCATAGTGGTTACGAGTCAGGCTGCTGACCTCAAGGTGAGCAGTTCGAAACTGCCATAGGAGAACGATGACGCTTTCTGCTCCCGTAAAGATTTACAGCCTCAGAAACCCTATGCAGTAGCTAGGAGTTGGAACCTACTCCCTGGCACACGACCACCACCACCATATTTATAATAATGCCAGAAAATGAAGACTGGAAAGAAGTCTAAGGAGGCTGATGTTGAATAAATAAACAAAAAAGATCTCTTAGCTAAAGAAGTTAGTTTTAGAATATTTGAGTTTAGAAAGGATCTATTTAAACCTCTAGGAAGCTTGAGTAGTCTTGTTCGACCCTTTGCTAGTTGCTCAAACATTTCAATCCTGGGGTAAGGGAACTACTTGAATGCCACCACCAGTATGTGAAATGGAGGCAAATAGCATGGAAGGCATTTGTTTGAAAAAAAAAAAAATAAGTGTGTGTGTGTAGGGTTGGGTACAGTGATAAAGCGTAAAACTTATGGTACTTGCTGTTGTGGTGAGTCTGTAAGGTTTAGTTCAAAGTTTAATAAGTAAAAAAGAAAAGAAAGAAGAAAGGGAGGGAGGAAGAGAAAGAGGGAAGGAAAAAAGGAAGGGAAGGAGGAAACAAATAATATATATATAAAAATAATGAACCAGGTTTAGGTTGGTAGATTGAATATTAACAAATGTCTCTTGGATAGTTATTGGAAAGTTACCAATAACTCATGTAGATAATTCTTACGGTGGTTTTAAGTAGACCCTTGTTCCTCTTTAGAATCATCTTGGACGATCTCTAAGCATTGTACCTATTCATTCTCTCAACATTCCAAGGAGACTGATAAGCAGAGTCAGAGGAGTTATACAGAATTGTCAAGAGTGGTGAGTCCCTGTTCAAGTGTTGGCATCTGACCACTAGTCAACAGCCCTCAGAACCTTCTAAGGTCTACTTCAGCACAGCTTTTCTCTAACCCTGAATGTCGCCTGATCTTGGCATAATTACATCTTGCCTCTGGAATTTGTTAGTGACTCAGATTAAATTTCGAAAGAGAAAAGATCTAACAAGTTACTTGTTAGTTTCATTAAATTTAGCCAACCTTTCAAATAGGTAAACTATTTTTAAAACTACAGCAGCTGCAGATTATCTTGGATGAGTTAAGATTTTCTCTCCCCATCTGCTTTGCTTTTCAGATCTGCTTGGCTTTTCATTCTCTTTTGTGCTTTAATTAATTAATTAATTAATTAATTATTGCAATCTTGGCCTCTGCTCTCATCTTTTAGGAATTTGGAATCCTCAGGAACAGTGACTTTACCAATACATGATGGTAACTAAGGTCAACGTTGGACTTGAGAGGAGAAGAAAAAAAAAAAAAAAATCCACCAGAAACCTAAATTAGTCCCTCTTCTCCAAATGGGTTGTTAGTGACAAAAAAGAGGCAAAGTGTTTGCCAAATCTGGCTATAGTCACATTGACCAGTAGTATCCAAATGATGAGAGGTAAACTATGACTAACCGAAGTTACATAAAACATGACAAACAGTGTAAAACGCACACAAGCTAAATATTATAAAAGAAGTAATCAGTGCATTACCTGTCATGTGGTCACACCCACGCCATGGAAACTACATTGTCATGTCTACAGATATATATTAAGGATTAGTCTTGAGGCCTTTCCTACAGATTCTAGAGAACATGACTGTTAAAATGACGAAGGTAATGAATCGTCAGCAATAATATCTTGTGTTAAAGAATAATACTAAAGTTTTCCTGCTGCTGCGGGATAATCCACATAAAAAAACCTAGTTATCCTTTTTGCCCTTCCAAAAGTCCCTGATGGGTCATATGTCGGGAGTCTCTTCCAAATATTATGTTGTGCCATGCAGTCCCTCAGATAGGGGTTTGGGCTTTTCTTTCTTTCTCTATTTTCCTTCCCGGTCTCCTCCCCATTTTTAAAAGGCTTTATAGAACATCTCTGGGAGACAAAAATAGCTCCAGTTGTAAGAGGCCTACACACTGGGAAGGCTACTGAGATGCAAGTCAGCAAGTGCCAACCAACCGAGAACATGAGTAACTGATTCTGAGTGGATGCTCTTCGAATGTCTTGGTGCCGATTCTCTGCCTGGGCCGGTGGGTAGATGGGAAAATGGGTTTTCAGGGTTGGGAGGTGGGTCGTGTAGGTCTGGGATCCGGTAGTTGAAGGAATGGAAACCCCAACATTCGGTCAGAAGGGGCTCTTTCTTCCCCTCTCCCTATATCTTAAATTTTTATTTTGCCCAGGCGAGGATTGGAGGCGGTCAAAAGGGAGCAGTTGGCACTGAATGTCACCCTGAAGGTAAAATGAAAGACAAAAGATGAACGCATGCTTGCTTTCCCTTCGCAGCGGCTGCGGCGGCAGTAGCAGCAGGATTTAAAGGGGAAAAAAAAATCACACGCACATACACACATATATACACACCCAGAGGCGTCAATTATGCAAACGCAATAAGGCAATCAAATCATGACAGTGCCGGGAATTTTTTTAAAAACATAGATATTTATTTTTAAAAAGAGAGAAACGCATGCAAACAGAAATGTGCACATACCACGTAACCACCCGAGGAGAACCTGGCAGCCTCTCTCTTCTTCTGCCAAGTTATCATTGAGAAAACAGACAGGCATCATGACGTCCTGGGTCACAGGGAGTGCGGACCGACGCTACCAAGAGAAAAGGGAGGCGCCTCGGCGCTCTGGCTAGCCGCGGGCGCCCCTCTGCCCCTCGCAGCCCGGCTCGGTGAGTGCACAGCCGCTCGGGACGCGGACCCAGGGTGCCAGGCCGGCCCCGCGCCCGCAGGGGCAGAGCGGGTGGCCGTGCCCTTGCCACCGGCGGGCCGGCCAGCACCCCCTCGCCTGCTGAGGTCGCGGGAGCCCAGTTAAAGGAGGCGTGTGTAAGATGTGCAATGTTCCTGCATGGGGGTTTTGTAGACTTTCATAGCCAAAGAAACCGGCTTCGGCTTCTTTAAAATCCCCGACGACTCACCTGATTAACCTGCTGCAGTTCTGACCCTGCCAAGGTAACTGGTCCAAATCCTTATCATCAACATCTGGAGACAGACATTTGCATCTGGGGCATTCTTTATTTGCAGTCCTGGCTGAAATCTTTATTGCTACCTCTTTCCCCCTTCACTTGCTTAGAGTCTCTTGAAAAAGAAAAAAAGCAACCCCCTCCCTCAATAACACAACCATAAGTACTGCCCTCCTCTAGCAGACTTGCGTTACCAAGACTGCAAAACTGTCAGCGTGTGTGCTAGAGACACAGACGAATTCTAATTGAAATTAGATTTGTTCTTGAAACACCCCTCCCCTCCCCCTTCCTGGATAGAGACTTCAGTGCTTGGTAAAGTGGCAAAGAGTGTGGGCAGAGTTAGGGCACTGGCACAGAGAGGGGCTAGGGGGTAAGTCCTTGGTCTTTGGGGGAGAGAGGATCTGGGGAAGGGGTCTTTGGGGAGATGATGGTGTCAGGAGTTGAGGACGGCTGTCATGGGTGGGTAAATCCTTCTAGTGTTTGCTGCTGCTGATTCCTGTCCTCTAAGCCTCTGTCCCTACCCTCTCCCCAACCCTTTCACCTTCCTGAGGGACTCTGTGAAGTTGCCGGGAGGTTACCAGTCGTCATTTAAGTATTTCCAACTACCCAACCCCATCTACCTCTCCAGTCAGTCAGAAGTGTCCCTAGGATTGAGACCCCTTTACCTCCCCCCACCCCCCATGTCTAGAGATTGGAGATTCTCAGAGATATAAAGGTACAGAGGGCAAAGCTCCTCTCCTCCCCTTCTCACTACCCTCCTGGCAACCTTTTCCAAGCTGCACCCCATCCCCCTTCCAGAATCTTAATGAGCAATTCTGGAAGAGTCCAGGAGGACTTGGAGACATTCCCCATCTCTCGCATGCCTCAGTGCTGTAGAATGATTGTGTGCTTATTTATTGTGCTTGTTTCAGTCATGTTGTGAATTGCCACATGGGTCTGCTTAAGCTAGGGAAACACGTTTGCTATGTTTGTGTTGTAGTACCAGAACCAGTGGCCGTGCAATAAGACACAAGACACACACAGAAAGCAAATGATTTTACTAGCATAAACCAGAGGGCAATGTTGAAAATAGCACTCTCTCTCTTTAAAAAAGGAAAAATAAAAGCATGTAGGCTAAAAGAAACTGTTAGGTCCACACAAGACTTCCTATTACTTAAAAAAAAACCCCAAAAACACCCAGCTTAATACTTTTAAGTCAAGATCAAGAGATCTGCTGATGTTTTGAAGTGTTGAGGGACAGCTGAATGGCTTGGTCTAGTTTTGAAGAGCAACTCTGGTTTGTTTCTCACGCTGTCCAAAGACCAAATAGGGGAGTGTGTTTGGAAAATACCCAAATGCAGAAGCAGCTAGCAAGAAAAAAGAAGGAGAAATGTCCAAGAGAAGAAGGTCGGAGAATGGGATTAAGGAATTGTTTCAGGGTTCCTTTTATCTATTTATTTATTTCCCTATCCAGTAGATCTGTTGTTATCAAACTGAGTTAACCAACCTGAGAAACAGTTCAGTCTTTGTGGAAAGGAGAGGGAGATTTGAACAGTTCTTAAAATTGAGATGAGGAATGACTATCATAGAGAAGGTACAAGAAAAATTAAAATAAATAATAAGTGACAGAGATGAAATGACATTGTTAGCTTTTTCTCCCTTCAAATATGAAAAGGCTTGTGTGTGTAAAGGAGCAGTCCCAGATGACCTAGAGGCATGCACATTTGTCTGATGCAAAGCTTCATTTGTTTCCCCCCCCCCAAAAAAAAACAATTCTCTTTCATCTTCCAAGTTATGATATTATTACAACGTGCATGTTGAGAATGGCATCATCTGGCACATAAAGGTGCCCATTGATTGCATAAAGAAATGATCATTTCTTTTTGTTTTCCTTTTTTTTTTTTTTTTTTTACTTTTTGTTGTGAATTGAGTGAAAGTTTACAGACAAGATCATCAGTTTCACATTCCACAAATAGAGCACTTTGTTTCATCTCAAGGATTGCAATCTCTTCCATGGAACAACAGTCATCTGCTTCCTCCCTATGGCTACTATTTCCTTTCTACCCACCTTCCCATTCCTTCTCACCTTGTCCTTAAGTACATGTTGCCCCTTAGATTTTGAATCATTGACCATCCTCTCATTCATAGTGAGCACATCTTACTAGTGTTGTTCTCCCTATATACATGTTTCTTTCCAGACCTAAAGGGTGGTTGAGGGCCACAGTCTCAGGTTCCTACAGTCTCTTTCTTATCAGTAAGCCTGATCTTTTTTTTTTTTTTTTTAAATTGAGTTTTTATTCTACACATTATGCTTCTCCATCTAGGACCCTCTAATGTGTTTGCATGCAGGGCAGTTGGTAGTGTTAACTGGGCAGCATCTAATTCTTCTGGTCTTGGGGTCAGGTTAGTCTATTGGACCAGTTGATTCCAAGCATCTCCAGTTCTCATCACTCTTCTTTCTTCCACATATGGAGAGACCTATAACTGCACCTTACATGGTCGCTCATGAGCTTTTAATGTTCCAGAAGCCACTCACCAAAGTAGAATATAGAACATTGTCTTTGTGTACTTTGTTGTGCCAACTGACCTGGGTGTCCCCTGAGACTATGGTCCTGAGTTCCCAGGCTCAGCTACTCATTGCCTTAAGATGTTTGGTATTATCTCATTTTCATCATTTTGCCCGCTGTATGCACCTCCACTTTCACAGTGGTGTTTTCAGGAAAGGTAAATATTTGTGTACCAATATTCTCTTTCACAATTTTGTGTATCTGTGGGACATATAAATGCATACATACATATACACATCTATATACATACATTTGCATACACACATACATATACATACATTCTACTCTTCTTCCCATAATCATTCAGCATATATAAATGATCATTTCTTTCCCTTAATAAATCAAAATAGCATTGACATTTTCATGTATGGTTCGGACTGAGGTCTGCAGGTCTTCTTTAGCAAAATTGCAAGGGGTGCAAGGTGAGTCTGTTGGGTGGTGTTTTAACAAAATAGAGCAGATCAATCGATTAGGTTTCCATGTGTGCTCCGCTCAATTTATTCTGTACAATTTTCCCCGAAATTAAAAGGTTACCATGAGAGTACCGTGTTCCCATCTCCAACTGAGCACCACTTATTACTGCAACAGTATTTCAATATTAAGTGATCTCCTAGATATTTCATCTTTCATTTGGAGTTCTGAATTTGAATCAGCATGAGAATGGCAGTTCAGCAAGATAACTAACTATACAGATAGACAGCGGAAGGGTTTATAGGGAAAGTGTTTGCTGAGAAGAATATCCTGGGCTGCTCTCAGAAACCTTGTTTATAGGGACATTTGGGTTGCAGCTAGAAGTTTAGCAAAAGCCTGCCAGAGGGAAGTGGGCTTATGTTTGAAACGGAACCTAAATGCCTCTTTTTCCTCCTTTACAGACAAGCTATGCACCGTCACTGAACACTCAAGGCAAAACTTTCCTCATGCCCCATGACATTTTGTAATACAGACAATCCCTGGATTAGTGTGTCGCAGGAAAAGGGGTTATTTATGAGGCTCTTCTTTTGTTTACAGATATAAGTTGTTTTCGTCCTTTTTTTTTTTTTATGTGTCTTATATGCTTGACTCTATTAAATGCAAAACAAATCATATTTAAAGAGGTTAAAGTATGCCTTACAGATTGACCTATGAAATTGACTTCAATTAGAAACTGAAAAACTCATTATCTTAGTGAGGGGAATTTATGATATAACAGAGATTTTTTTTTACTTTTTTTTTTTTTCAGAATTGTTGGAAAACTGTGAGGACAAAGATTTTGAGGAAAATGCCAAAAGCCACATTAATGAAGAAAAACACTGTTGAGATACTTTTGAATAATAGATAGGATATGGAATGGTCAACCACAAGATAAAATTTTTACACAGTATTTTTATGGCTTTAAATTGACTGCATTGTAAACTAAGCTTACTACTCTATTAAGTCATTATACTTTTCAATTATTTAACATTTCTGGCCAGGCTATCTTCTGTGATCTTTTTCTGTACACATCAGAAATGATATGTACAGTAGTAATTGCTCACTGTGAGCATGAAGACTTTGCCATGGAGCAAGGTTTTAATTTTAACTTCTCAGGACAAATATTGCAAAGAATGCACAGAAGAAAAAGAAGGTTAGGAAATAGCCCGAGTCCTATGAAATGGAGATAGCTACAGCATTGCAATGTACCTAATACAATTTGAGTTATTCTCACTATGAAGCCTTGACAGTATCTGCCTTCTAGATACTGTGCAGTTGGAAATACTCTATAGCTTCATTTAAATGCAGATCTTACATTTTCTCCAAGGAGCAGTTGGTGAATCTTTCAGTTGAACCACTGGTATGAGAAAACCATCTGACTATTTCCCCATGAACGGCAGCATCTGCTGTTAAGAAGTAATGATCACAAAGTTTTAGGATACAATGATATATATTTTTGTATTCATTTACGCTGTCTTTCAAAAGTCACAGTAGTATACTGCGACTGCTGAGCAAACAAGTCAGTTTTCAATTGTCCCTTTGAGGTGAAATTTTTAAAGCTATGAAATGATACAGTTAGTGTGATCATCCCAGTAGAGTAAGTGGGACTGAGGAATCAGTGCAAGAAAGTTCTTTTGGATGCTCTCTCCCATTCATGTTAGGGGATGGATATGGAATGCTGTAGGGTAGCCTAAGCATATTTCTCCAGAATGATCTGGAGATGGTTTTCACCCACGTTGTATGAGGATCAGTAGTAAATGTGGCCAAGATTAAGAGACAACGGGTTTTCACTCAAGAGATGATTGCAGAAAGTAACACAGTCATTTAAAATATGATATAGATACACAGAACCTTATGATTTCAGAACCTCTGGTTCAGATAACTGGAAAAGCCCCTACAAATAGCTAAATTAAAAAATTCCAAAAGTATACAATGTGACTAATGTTATGACTAAATGTACCTTTATCACATACATAGGGAAGTTTTCTTTTCC